TATTAAACAACCTGAAGGTACTTATAGTCTCTAATGCAATTATTATACATTGTCCTACTCTTGGTCAATGACATGTCACATAGACATAAACCCAACAGAGAAACAGCAGAATTAAATGCACCTTAGAATCAGTGGACCAAACACATGTACACAATATTCCAACCAATGGCTAAAAAGTATACATATTCTCATCAACCTGTAGGACACTTTCTTAAACAGTTCACATGATAGGTCAATAAGTATCAATAATTGTTCAACTTGACATCTTATTGAATGTATTTTTGGACCACAGTGAATAAAAACTAGAGTTGCATGAAAAGTGAAAACCATAAAAATATACAAATAATTGAAAATTAAACAACTTACTTTTGAAGAACCAATGAATCATAAAAGATTCCAAGAAAGAAAGACAGGCAGAGTGCACATGCTTGTATGCCAAGACACTTGGGAAACAGAGTTAGGAGAATTAAAATGAAAAAGACAACCCTGACAGAGTTAACAAGTCCCATAGCTGAGAACATAAAATAAAACTAAAGAATTGTTATTAGTACAAGTTGTAGGATATTTGCCTAGAAAGTTCAAGCTCTGAGTTCAATTCTTTGTACCAAATAAATAAATAAGCAAATAAATAAAATACTAATTCTTATTCAAATAAGAGAAAATGTAAACTAAGTGTGAAAACATGGGCTACAGTAAGGAAAATACTAAGAAAAGTGTAAAATATCACTAACCATCAGAAATGTAAATAAAATCTCTCTCTCTCTCTCTCTCTCTCTCTCTCTATATATATATATATATATATAATACAAATAAAAAGATCTCCCTGTGTAAGAAAATACAGTGAGATACTCACCCTGCCCCATTAAAAGTGATTTTATTAAAATGAAGAATAATAACTATTGATGATAGAAATGCGGAAGAAGGAAATAAGATTCTTGTACATTGTTAGTGGGATTGTAGATTAGTATAACCACTACAGAATACTACATAGGGGTTCCTAAAAGTAGTACAGATAGCTGGGCGCTGGTGGCTCATGGCTGTAATCCTACCTACTCAGGAGGCTAAGATCTGAGGATCACAGTTCAAAGCCAGCCCTGGCAGAAAAGTCCGTGAGACTTTTATCTCCAATTCACCACCAGAAAACCAGAAGTGGCACTGTGGCTCAAGTGGTAGAGCACTCACCATGAGCTGAAGAGCTGAGGGACAGGGCCCAAGCCAAAGTTCAAGCCCCATGACTGATATATGTACAGATAAAACCACTTTGTGATACATCAATGATTCTGAGTATAAATTCAAGGCAAATGAGTTCAATATGTGAAAGGCACATCTGCACTTCATGACCCTCACAGAACTGTGCGCAATACCTAAGGAATAAAAACTATTAAAACGACTATCCATCCATGAGTGGATAAATAAAAAGTTGCACATATACAAAGTAGACTACTATTCATCATAAGAAACATTTTTAATTTGGGAAATTTTGATGTAAAGTAAAATTTAGAGGCTAGAAAGACAATAAATTATCTCAAGAGTATGTCAGATTTTCACATTTTATTCTTAGGAGTTAGGAGTAGAATGGGCAGTACCAAAGTCTTCAAAGAAGATGGGGAAGGGAATACTGGGAATGATGATCAATGAACACTAACACAGTAAGTTAGCAGAAAAAAAGCTCTGGTGTACTATTGCACCGTAGGGTGACTAAAAATAGTAATTACATACCTCTTTTAGTAGCCAAAAGAAAGGATTTTGAATTGTTTGTCATAAATAAATGTTAACTGTATGGGTAGTCATATTTAACCTGATTTAACCATTAAACATGGTCTTGCAATATGGAAATTATGAATTAATTCAGACATTTTAGTTGTTGTACAAAAGAGTTGATATCTAACAAAGCAGTTTGTGAATACGATCCATCTTGATCAGTGTCCACCCATTTCACCATTCCCTTTCCCTGACTTGTCTTAATTTTGTAGAATATAGTATGAATTCTCTTTTTTTGCAAATGTAATTAAATTTTATTTTTAAATACAATGCATTATTGAAATACTGATGAAAGAGCAGCTGAGAGGATGTTTCAAATACTAGAGTGTCTGCCTAAAGAGCATTTTTGTCATTCCAAACATCATTATTTCCATCCTTCCTTCTCCCACTTAAAAAATCATAAATAACTACAGAATTAACCTACATGTTCCTTAATCATCATTGAAGAAAGACATTGTTTTATATATATATATATATATATATATATATATATACACAAACACATATGCACAATGATATACTATTTAGCCACACATAATAATAAAAATCATATCATCTTCAAGAAAATAGATAGAACTGGAAACCTTCATATTAAAGCAATAAGCCATACTGTGAAAAACAAATACTAGATTTCTCATATGCAAACTCTAGACCCAGATAATAAAATGAATGACCCAAGTATAAAAGATGGAACTGATTACATTTGGAAAAAAATAAGAGAGGAGAGGAAGAGAAATATTGTGGAGTAAATATGTTCAAATAACTTGTGGAGGAGAGGGGGAAAAAACAGTTGTTTAAGGATACAGGTGGACCTGATGCAACAACGAGAAGTATAAGTTGTCATGTCCAAAACGAGCTTTACAACGTCGGTGCGGGGGGGGAAGGGAGGG